CATGTCTTGCTCTCAATATAAATAGACAGACAGAATATAAATATGAGTCATAATTAGGTCTACTTTTGCTCTTTGTTTTCCTCCTAAACGGTAAACCTATTTATTTTCATATACTTTCAAATCCGATATAATTTTCAAATTGCATTTCAAAACCAAACGTTTGTAAACTATATTTAGATATTTATTAGCCATCGAGTTATCGCGTTATTCAATACATATTGTGTATATCCATATCAAACATGTTCTCATATTTCCTGAAATAAGTTTTCAAAACTGAAACCAATTTGTTTTATAGCAAAAAAAATTATTTAATACTCATTATAACGACAAATAAATCAACATTTATTTCAGTGAATAACTATTTAGTGGCAAAAAACACAGACATTTTTGTTGAGTCCATCACTATTTTGTCGTTTAGTGATAGTTTGGTGTCAGAAACAAAAAACTGCTGTAAATTGTGAACTAAAACAACAAATATTGTGCTAAAACCCATTGAATTGGCAATAATTTGCAAATATGTTAAACATCACAAATAGCTGTCGTTTGCCTAATAGACTGACTGTACATATGATGTATAATTAGGTGTAATAATAAACGGATGCGAATGTCGTTATTCTCTCTCCAGAAAAAAAACACACTCAAAACCATTGACTTTAAGGAAGTTATATAAAAAAATTGCGTTCATTTTAGCCTTAGTTTTGCGGTCATTAGATATAACAGTAATATAGCAATCATTAACTCAAACGATAATCGATTTCTTTTGCAATCATTTTAAATAAATAATAATTTAAATGATAAACGTTTTGATTATAAGATTGTGTTTTAATCGTAGAGATATTGGATATAATATAATCAGTACTTAATTGCAAACACATTCAGCAATGGTTCGCAACAAAGCAAATACAATATTCATAAAAAGTCTGTTTTATTGCAGATATAAACAGCAATTAAGTGTTGAAATGAACGGTAGTTTGCATTTTCATTGATTGGATTTGAAAAAAATGAAATCAAATAAAATGACTGCAAAAACAATTCATTTATTGAGTTTCTTATTAATGAAACAAACATTTAATGATTAGTACACTATTCGGGTAATTGTGTGCAATAGATGTGATTGCAATTGCATTACATATTAAAGTGATTACCTGTTTTATAATGAACTGCAATTGTCTTACAATTATATCACAATAATATCGTTTGAGAAAACAATTGCATTAATAAAACAAATGATTAATACATGCATTACTTGGGAGACAATAATTGTTAAGTTTTACAAACATTTCTTGCTTTTTAAAAAATTATATTCAAAATCAATACTTCATTCATAATTCAATGCAATTATAGTAAAAACCAAGAAAAGCATACATTCATTGAATTAACAGCAAAAACGAAATGCATTTCAGGAAATAAATTGTATTTTGAAACAACAGTTATATTTGAATCAATGAATACAGAGTACAGGATATATACCATAAGCTGGTGTTCATTAAAACTCATCCATAGGTTTATAATGAAATTAATATCAATTAAAACTAATAATACATATCAATGAATATCGATCTCACTGTACGTCTACTTACATAACGTGTATATCATATTAGAGGGCATTTCATGACTACATATTCAATCAATTCATGTCATTGTATGCGAGATAAGAGATAATAATAATACAATTACTAAACTTAAACACACATTCAATTGTAATTAATAAATGATTACAATTATTAATAGCAATAGTAATGAAATTCAATATATGGTTAGCATTTGAGCGAAACATATGACAAAAACAAACCTCTGATTGCCTTTTATGTTGTGATGGTTTGCACTCAGCATTCAATTCACACCACAATTAATACTAATATTACACTAATTATAAGCACAACAATAATAACAACTCAATTGTCCACTAATGGTTGTCCGTATAATCTATAATACAATTTACATTATATTTAATTGTGATTATAGTTTGTCTGTTAAATGATTTAATGAATGAATTTCATAATATATTTGCAAATATTCATTGCAAATGCATTACAGCTTATAATACTGTAGTCAACACTACTCTTACATGAGATGGATATTAATTACGGCTTCACTACACATGTATTGTCCAAAGCATTGGCACTCAATTGTGGCCAATATTAAGCCAATTGGCATATGTTTGACACACTTATGGTCTTTGGTTCGGTTTATATTCAATAATAGTTATCGTAATTTAACTTTAATTTGTGTTTTAATGGCAAATAAGTGTCAAAACAGTGATAGGGATTGACATGAAATACCAAACGTATTATATAAGCATTTGTTGCACTATTTGTTTCAACTCACAAACTGTGGACCAATTGTGAAATACAATGATATCATTGTAATGACGATTGGCTTTCGTTTCGTCAATCTATAAATATAACGCATTCTCTCATTGGATAACATTATTGGACAAACTTTTAGACACTTTGCTATTCATTGAAAACGTTACGCGAGATAAACGTGTCTAAAAGTATGAGCCCCTCGTTGTATACGATTGTTACGATTATTGTTATATAACTTTTATATTGTTTGCTTAATTATATCATTCAATGCATTTCAGTACTCATGAAATGAAACACCAATTGATTACATGTAATTCAAAACTAGTGAATAACGCGTTGAATGAGTATTATATGAAATAGCGTTGCATTTCTCACTCCCTTCGGCCGTAATGTTATATAACATTGAATACAGAAATAGTGGGAAAAGATTAATAAACTCACAAAACAGTGCATTATATTCAGCACATGCTTTAAACATGTCATTCATTTGCACACATTCTCTACCATTGCTTTGCTTTTGCCCATAAAAAGCATCTCGATTTGTGCGTTCATTTCATTGATCATGTTAAATTTACATTTTTGAACAACAATTCCCATTGCGATGTCGATTGCAATCATGTGTGAAATGTGTCGATCATTTGATTGCAAAATATGTATGATTTGGTGAAATACCACTAAAAACACCAAAAGTCTGCGAAAATGTAATTGTCATCAATTGGTTTAATGAACTTATTTTGCTATTCATTGTAAGATTAAGTGAATAAAACTTTTGTAAGTTTTTTTCTGCGCTGAGAATGTGAGGAGTATAGTCGCGGCGACGACTTGTGCCGCACTTACCGTACGATTAGTGTATGAATCAAATGATGCCATCTATTCGTGAAACACATACTTTGAACGCAAAAACTTTTTTAGAACTTTTTTTTTACTTTGACTTCAATTAAATTTTTTCGAAACAATTTTTTTCAAAAAATTAAACACAAATAAAAAATAGTAATTATTTAGAAAATAAAACATAATAAAAGCAAACATTTTGTTGTTGTAATCAAACAAATAAAAACGAAATCTAAATTCAATTATAAAAAAGGAAATTAAAAAACATCTAAATATTTGTTTTTATAAAATGATTAGAATTGTTAATGTTTTGGGCATTTCTTATGGCAAATGATTTGATATGTATTTTGTTTTGTAAATTTAAATACTATTAAATGTTTAACAAATTATATGAATTTTTAAAATTCTCTTTAAACGCCTCAACACATCATTAAAATATTTAAGACTACAAACAAGTGTTAGTTTTGTTGTATAACAAGTAATAGTAATGATATTTAATTTATACAAATCTAAATTTATATTTATATCGATATAATCTATGACTGCATAACAATTATTGCATTATATTTCTATAGAGGAAGGGGTGTTCAAAGAGGTCGGTTGTATACGAGGTGTGCTTTTGATGATTCCCGTCCGTTGATGTCTGGGTGAAGGCATAGTCATCGGCGGATCCACTTTGAGGCCTACATTCAGACTATTGGCGTTCTGTTGATTGGTTTTGGATTTGTGTTGTTTCATAATCTTTCCGCTCATAATGAGTCGTCCGAAGCCTTCCTGGTGTGAGAAGGCATACCCGGAGCGTATCGATCGACGACTCCTTCGCACAGAACTTCTTCGTCTCATCTGAGGCTCGGGTCGGGCTCTCATACGAGATATTCGCTGCTTATAACGACACCTATCACTGAGTGTCGGGTGCACTGATGTGTGATAGAAACGGTTGGCCACTCCCGGCACTAACAGAATGGCCAACACTAGAAACAATGTGAACCAGAATTGACCCGAACTCAGAGTCATTCTAAGGCAACCCAAGTATTGGTTGTTAATTAAGTTACTGTTTATGAATAAAGTCATTGCGAAATAGAAGGCAACGCTTCCCCAAATCACTATATGATTGAATACTGTCCAGTAGGACGTGTCCAGAGCTATCTGTGCACACAATCACAACAATAATGCAAAGTTAATACATATTAGTTATACAAATGTTGTGCATGTGTGGCAATGATTGACATACTTGAGCGGTCACGACTAGAACCAGAATGGTTGAGACAACTGTCCCAAAGATCTGATGGCCGTCCAAATTGATACCCTCGGGTCCGACAGCATTCTTGAAGGCGCCGTAAGGGATGAAGAATAGTATAAAAGATGATACGATTCCGTGAGCGACACTTTTGAGGAATTCTATTTTGTTGAACAACAGATCCATATGACCCGGAGTGTACAGTAATGGATAACGAAGTGATATGCGATCGTCCACGTCCTGATCAAAGATGCCCAGCGCTAACACCGGGAGTGATGTGTAAAATACATTATAAAACGATATAAAAGCCGGATCGTAGAGTGTCTGCGCAAAAGTGATGGTCATTTTAACGATTAGTCTCTCTTATACAATGAATCCATACGTGATTATATCGACAATACCTGTGCGGAAAAGCCGCAGAAGAAGGCATACCAGAAGTGGCAGAGAGTGAACGCAAAGTTCTTGTAAAAGAAATAGCGAAGAAATTTGCACATTCGGAAGTAAGACCACCGGCCGTGCACTAACAGCAGCCGCTCCAAGAACCGGAACTGTGCGATCGAAAAGTCACTCGACAACACCGCTTGCATTCCTGTGCCGTACGAATACAAACATCGGTTATACAGTTATGTCACACAACATCATAATCATTGTTAAATCAGTCCATACCTTCCTGACCGCTGATCCCAACCCCGATATGTGCGGCTAATTATCAAATAAAATAATAGATTAAATGATTGAACGCTAATATGTTTGCGCAAAGAATTGGTGGACATACTTTTAATCATACTGACGTCATTAGCGCCGTCGCCGATGGCTAATGTGACCGCTTTCTTGTGTCGTTTGACGAGATCGACGACCAGTGCTTTCTGTAAAGGCGTGACTCGACAACAGATGACGGCTTTGCAATTGGAGGCCACGTCTAGGAATAGGAGTTCCATCTTTGGCTGAAGCGCGTGAACAAGACTGTGACCATTGATGACGAGCGCGAATCCGCCGAACGCATCCGATTCGTTCACTTCAATGGGACTGGCGTTCGGAGCACTCGCCCTATTCTCGTACCGATCGTTCACTCGACTGTTGTTAATAGTGTTGTCATTAGTGTTCAAACTGTTGCCCCGAAATGAGACCACGTTTAGGTCAGTCGCGCCGTACGTATGGCTCATCACATTCGCGATATTTTCGCGACACCTCTTCAGTTCGCTCTCCACGTCCTCGTATTCCCAGCCCTCTATCGTAAACGTGTCCACCATTTCATCGGTTAACAGTTGGCAACTATAACCTATTCCCCAATTAAAACACAATTAATCTCATGTTAAATAGATTAACAGTAATATTAATTAATACCTATATTAATAGCCGTTTCCTGTTTATCGCCGGTTAAAACCCAGAGTTTAATGCCAGCGGCGGCTAAATTAGCGATACATTGAGGGACGCCATCTTGTAATTTGTCTTCTATGGCTGAGGCGCCGATAAGTATAAGGTTTTGTTCAATTTCTTCATAAACGGCGTCCACTTTCTCCTCCCTATTGTCGAGAGAAGTGGCGGCCGAATGCAGTCTCTCTTTCCACTTCTCGTAGTATTGAGAGTCGAGCTCTTTCTTTGCCAACAATAGAGTGCGAAGGCCTTCGCCGGCGAACTTGTTTAAGTGGTCGACTGTATTCAACTTCAATTCGGCACAACTCGCGTCCATTCTCTCAAATATCACAGTATCGGCGCCTTTGCAGTAAAGAAAGATTTTACCATTTTTACGAAGTATCACCTAAAATAGTAGATCCACGTTATATAACACATCTGTTTACTGTCTTTCATATCACACTCACAGACATTCGTTTGCGAACGTTATTAAAGTCAAGAATAGCTAAGAGTTCGTAAGTTTCAGTTTTGCCCAATTCTTCAATGGTTATACTCGTCGGCGTTCGGCTCTAATCAACATATTATTCAATTAATGTTCACTACATTTCATAATATATTTCCATTAAATAATACCCGAAACACAAAACCAAAGTTTCTCGCGGCAGAAGTGAGGGCCGCCTCGTCGGGTGACTGCGCCTGATATTCAAGTTTTCCATCCTTTTCTTCGCACATAACTGTATGACAGAGAGCCAGAAGACGAAAGAACTCCTGAACCTCTTTATTGCCGCCATTTATCTCATCGAGAAGTGTCTGGTCGTAGAATTTGAAAGTCTCCTCAAACATAGGATTACCGGAAAAATCAACAGAAATCATGTCTTCAGTTATCTCTAACTGTTCGCCAGTCATCTCATCCAACACTTCGCCATAAAGATTATTATTGATGGAACACTTGTTGAATGTCATGATATTCTGGGTTAATGTTCCCGTTTTATCACTAAAAACGTACTCAATTTGTCCCAACTCTTCGTTCAGTGTAGTAGTCCTGGCCTTTGCCGCCACATCTGTGGGCGCGTAATACATCTTCTCATCCCAATTGATCCATAATGAGTGACAAAAGCGAATCACTTCGACGCTCACGTATAGAGAGATGGGAACCACTGTATTGAGTACAATGGCGTACGAGAAGAATACGAGCACCGCTATGACAGTGGCACCACTTTTGGCATTACTCGGTACGATTGAATCCCAGGGCAGGTATGCCCTGAAGTATTGACCCGTCACTGTCTCCCAAACACCACTCGCTATCGTACAGAACAGACACATCGACATTAAGAAAAATACGATCTAATCATACAAAATGAATGGTTAGTAAAGTATTGATAAATTTAATATCAATGTTAAGTTTATAATTACCCCTAAAATCAATAAATTTAATAGTCTATCGAGACTCGTTCTCTTGAATATAGTCTTTCCGCTGTTTTGCATTAGTTTTGTATCTCTACCTATAGTATCAAATAAATATCAATGTTAAACAATATGGTAAATATAATGGGAAGAATGAAGTGACAGACCAGCGAACACGACAACACCGAAACACCATTTAGTGTTCCGTAATCGACAGCCTCTCAAAAGCATTTTGTCGTTGTCTACGGAAAATGTCTCTCCATTATAATGAAGAGTGCCCTCAAAACGAGTCAGATTATTGTTGGGCGGCTCACAGATCATCTCACCTTCAATTCAATTAATAAAAAGGCATTAAATATGAACAACAAAATGGCATATCATTTACAATACCATTAAACCTTCCGAGCAATTGAAAGTCATCGCCGAGTTCTGAAGTCTCAGGTATGGCTTGTCTGCACTTTAAGTTTGTTTCTCTATATTATTTAAATAGAAATGCATTCAATTATAAGTTGACTTTCATTATTTTTTATGTAATTATTTTATATGTATTCTATGAAATAACTATTAAAGATAAAGTGTAAAAAATAAATTTAATGCAATACCCGTCCAATTCTGCTGTTTCAACATAACATAGACCGTTGGGTTCACTCGTGGATAACATAAGGAGATCGGCCTTCAAAACAATTAAAAATCGATGTCATATTTTTTGAATAGAGTTATGGCTAAAAAACATGAATATATAGCGAGACTTACGGCAACGAAATTGTCATTTTCCATGAGAACGATGTCTCCGACCTGTACTTTATACCATCGCTCGTCTGCTAACTTCCCATTTCGCAGCACTTTTGAGAGACGATTATTGATCTGATTATCACTTCTATGTCTTTGCTGTTGATGTTATCGTTTTGTGAGGAATTGAGCGATTATTATGCGATTTAATTAACAATAGATAACAATACACTTACAATATCATCGATTGCATCTTTGACTGCCGTTAGTGTCAGCACAACAATCAAAGGCACGGCTGTCGCCCACGGGGTTAAGGAAGATATAAAGGGAATAATCTATTGATTAGACGTTAATTTAGTTAATATTTTTTAGTCAACACATTTTATAACTCGTATGAAAAACGCAAACCTGAAGAATAAGAAGACAAAGAAAATAGAAATTTGCGAGTCTTTTGAACTGTTCGAAGAGGTTTTGGGGCAGAAATGTTAGCAAACTATACTTCGAAGTCTTGATGTAATTATTCTATAGAGAAAAACAATAATCAAATTAAATTTAATCACAAAATTAGCGATAATTGTGAACAGAATATAAGCCCCAAAATTGCGGAAGAAATTGAGGCCAAACGACAAAACGATTGTCTATTCATGAAAAGTGTTCCATAAATCACACCTCAAGTCAAGACAGGTCTTGCTTTACATCCATTAGATGTAATACTTTTTGCATAAAATAGATAATAGAGAATTGAAATGAAAGCCCCACCCAATCAAGTGCTAAATTCTTCTCTTATGTCGCAAAACATATTGAAAAAAACCTCAGATCTGTTTCCGACAATCAATCTTATTATTACTTTCAATAGTTTGACTATTGATTTGATGTGTTTAAGGAATGAGTGAATGAATGGATACCTTGTATTGATATCTCATGTGAAGACTTCTAAAAGAGGTTTTTAAATATTGGTAATCATTAAGTAATACTTACGGCATAATTGAATTTTGAGTTAAATATGGGATCATTTGCTCGGATTCTTCTTTCAGTTTCTGTAAACATATAAACAATCATTTTATTTATAAATTAATAATCAATTCAAGTATTTTTGTAAATATAGTACATATTTATGTACTATTCAATACATTCGCTATTTTAATCGTAAATTAATATTTAAAATTTGATATTTATTAAGTTATATAACAAAACTGTGTTAAAAGACTTGACTTAAAAATTATTTATTTGGAAATGTTATAAAAATATGATATAATATTAAATACTAATAAATTCAATTATTTTAACGAACAACTCCTACATAACTAGGCATTAATATTTTAGTGATTTATTTATTTATTTTATAGTTGTGTGCAAACAATATATTGATAGATCATTTATTTTGGTATCATTTATTAATTGTGTTTACTTTCCAACTAATAATAGAAATAAAATCAATTGTTTGTCACAAAGCAATGAAGACATAATACCTTTCATTAGTATTAGAAATTGTTTGCAATTTTACTTTTGCAAACAAAAAGGATTTAAATTTAAATAAAACTTATTTGCAAACCAAACAATAATTTAAAGAGTATTTCAATTTAAAAACCTTATAACCAACTAAATTACAATGAGTTTGCAATTACAATAGCTTAACTTCGATAAAGTTAGCAAGGCGCATACAGAATTGACCAAATAAATTCATGATAGATTTTGTTTTGTATTAAAAATATTTTATTTTCAATACTAAAATTGATTAAATGGCGACATTTGTCGACACATTAACCGGCAATCAATTATTTATTCAAATAAATTGAATCGATATGTCATTTGAAAAGAAGACATATTTACGCAAAGAAGACTAATTCAGAATATGTATCAAACAATGAGTGAGTGAGTGAGTGAGAGAGAGAGAGAGAGAGAG